ATATAAATGCTCAACTCAACTCAATAAATTTGAAATCACTTGCCTCAAGGCGTATAATTCACTCACTCATGTTTATCTATGACATTGTGGTATGCATGGTAGGTCTCTTAATGAACTTAATAGAATTTTTAATAGTCTTGATCTTGATTTCGCCCATCCTAGATCTCTTTTTTATCTAAGCTGGGATCTAGTTACTTTTAATCGTATCTTTAATGATTATTTCTAAGTCATTTTGTACCTCTAGTCTGTAAGGTTTTGCAACCATAGACTTAATAAATAAATATGAAATATGAAACTCACAACAGTCCATAGCTTTTCCTGCAGGGATACCCTACAGGTATGCACATACATACATATGTATGTATGTACATACATGTGGACATATTGGGTATATATAAGGTGAAGGGGAAATCACATGGATGAAGTATTTGAAAACAGGAGGTTATTAGATAATTTAATTAATATTTACGGAGCATTAATACAATTTCAATAATGTTTCTCACTGAGTATGTGGAATGAGTATGTATGTCTGTATAGAGTATGTATAAGCATGTTTAATATTTGATGATTGTTTTAGCACGTATTCTGAGATGTAATAATAAAAAAAAAAAATTTTAGTAATAATGTGCAATAAACAAGCACGTATTCTCACTAGCTCACGACCACAAAGCGTATAAGTATATTGGAAACATTTTTGGCTGCAGGGCAATTAATTATCCTGCACTGAATAAACTAGCTCATTGGAGAAAATTCGATGCATCAGTGCAAATATCACTCTAACCTGCTTTTGGTAATTTTTATGAAATTACGAACCATGGCGTTCGTGTCTTCATCGTCGCGGTGTACGCCTTATTGTCATCAAGGCCTGTTTTATACAGCCGAAGATTCGTTTACCAACTGTGAAGATCGTAAAATTTGTTGTGGCGTTTCTACAAAAAATGTTGCCTTCAGTGTTGCCAGAGGAAGTCCCCCAAAAATCTTAATTTTTTCCAAAAAAATATTCAAATTAAGATTTTAAAGCTAAAAAAAATCTTTTCGATCCCAAAAAATCTTCATTTAAAAATACCTTAAAAGAAAACTGATATTGGCTTTACGGCTGTAAATAGCCCTTATTATGTTGGTTGAAAAGATTACCAATTTCAAGTTATAAAGTCCTTTTTATAACAACTTAAACTTAAAATGAATATTGCCTCGTGTCATCAAAAATTGTGTAGCACAGTTTACATATGTACAGCGTGGCGACGAATAACTGTTACCCCGGTTTTTTTAGAAATAAAAGGGTCCTTTAAAGATTTTGCGAAAAAAGTATTTTATTGTTAATTTTCACAGATTTTACTTTAGTGGTATCAATTAGTTTTTAAATTTTAATCCCTACTTACATTTGCCAGCAGTTTAAACTTTGAGAGAAAAGTTCATTTCGCACGCAGGTCTTTTTCAGGTGTATTTTTTCTTAGGCTTTGTACAAAAAAATACAAAAAAGAAAAAACTGTATAAGGTTGGTCCAATGAATGGCCGTCCTAGTCACCAGATCCGAGTCTATTCGATTTTTAAGTATGAGGCCTTATGCTGGACAAAAAGGGGAGTATAAGGAACTCAAAATGGAGAAAATTTACCTATGGTTACAGAAGATAAGGAATAAATTAACTGACGAAGACCTGCGTGCCAAATGAACTTTTCTCTCAAAGTTTACACTGCTGGCAAATGTAAATAAGGATTAAAATTTAAAAACTTATTAATACCACTAAAGTATAATCTGTGGAAATTTACCAATAAAATACTTTTTTCGCAAATCTATAAAGGACCTTTTTATTTCACAAAAACCCGGGGTAACAGTTCTTCGTCGCCACGCTGTATATATACACTGGCGAAAATATAAATAGGGTCGCGACATTTTGCAAGTTTTGACCGACTTAAAAACAGGAAAAGTTTATCAATTCCTGCGAATATTTTTTTATGTATATAAGTTACCGCATAACTTTGGACCACTTGAACTGATTTCGATAATTCCTTTTTATCGGAAAGGTGGTACCTCAAGGGTGGCCACATACTAATTTGGTTTAGATCCCATCATTGGATCATGAAGAAATTACCGGTTTGAAGTCACTTGTGTTGTTTGTTTAAAAATTACTTGTTCTTTTTTTATGAAAAAATAGCTCGTTATCTATCAAAAACCATGCAAGTCCAAACTTCAACCCTTGTACAAAAGTTAAGAAAATTCGACAAAGTTCCTTAACAATTTTGAGCTTTTTATTCGATTTTTTATTGATATTTTTACATGGATATTATTTTATAAAGCTATATATATGTTTCACTGTGCGAGAGAAGAAGGCGGATAATATTGTAAGGGATTTCATATTTCATTTTTCTTCTTCCTTCATTTGCTGCTTACAAGGTAGCAAGGATAGGGTTGCCAGATTTTTTATGCGCGAAATCCGTACGTTAGACTTTTTCATGCTAAAAAATCAGTACTTTTCAGTACATTTTCATTCAAAGCAAAATTATGAATGTAAGCAACAGATAATACTTTAAAACGCCAGATAATAAAAGTGTTATTAATTTTAACATAAGTGCACACATAATACAATAAATTCTTATATATTTATTACATTTTTGAATAGCAATAATAAGATCAGTAGCGCGTTTCTGTAACTCGTCTCGATCAATGTTCTCGATTGAAATAGTCGATTTGATGTAATTTGACGTCATTCTCACTTGTTATGTTTCTATAAGAAAATGAGTCGAATTGGTCGACAACGCTGGATTTTCGACTGACGTGTTTCATTCCATTTCAGTAGGAATACTCGATTGAATGTGTTTCTGTAACCAAATGAAACGAAGTATTGTCGATTATTATTCTCACTTGCCTTTGAGCTGGTGACAACTGTATTTTGATGTGTGTATGTACATATTTCGTTTATTTGAATTTAAAATGGAAGACATTGGATCTAAAGCCAGCGTAAGTACTTATATATTTGTTAATATTTTGTATACTTATGAATATTTAAATAAATACACATGTATATTTGTTACAGAGAAATATGTCGGGCCGGGTTACCAAAGGTCAAAAAAATCGGTTGCTCCAGCTAATGCAACAGCATCGCTGCGTTGGTAAGGGCCAGTTTACGACACCAAACGCCAGAAAAGAGCATGCAGAAGTATGGGCTGCGGTTGCTGACGAGCTGAACGCATTAGGAGGGTCCCATAAAACCTCTAACCAGTGGAAAAAGGTAAAACCGAAACTTAATCGGGCGTATAGAATTTAAATTTAGTTTGGTTAATTATATCAACCATTTAAAAGTTAATAACAAAAAACTTTTTTGACGTTTTTTTATGTGTATTGTTTTTCTTTTAGTGTTGGATTGATTGGAAATCGTCTGTGAAAAAACTAAATAATTCCCACAGAGCGTTCGCCAGACGCACTGGCAATCTACCGTTGCAGGATGGTCCAAAACCCTTGGACGCTATGGACACTGTAGTTTTGGAACTTTTTTCAAGAGACATGGTGGATGGGGATGGACTCACTCCCGAAATCGGTTTGGCAGTAAGTAACATTTCTCAAAATTAAAAGTCGAGTTGATTATGAAATGTAGTGTTACGTTTGATATGTACAGTCAACGGCTAAAAGTGTTGATTTGCCGGAGGTAGACATGGTTGACCTCGACGTGTTTGATGAGGAGGAAGTAGTCGAGTTTCCACCGGGTCAGGGGTTTGAAGTTGTATCCAATAAGCCAAACAAAACGCGCAGCAGCCAAAGTTGCGTGGAAGAAGCTAGTGTTCTAATTGAATCCCAACACCAACAATTGAAGAATTTGTTGGAGAGGCAGCACAAGGAGCATATGGATGCCTTAAAGGGCATTCATGATACATTAAAAGCTCTTTTAGAAGCTATGACAGGTAAAATTTAACGATAACAGCTTTTTGTAATATTGTATCGCATTAATATTTCTTTATTTTTCCTACATCTTTCTATATATTTTTAGCACACTGAAGCTGTGAAATCGCAAATTTACTTTTTAAAATATTCTCTATACCTTTGAAGTGCATAATAGGTATTAGTATTTATTATTTTTTATTACACACACACACACACACAGTACACAGTGACACACTAAATTATTAGTACGGATAATTTTTCACAATGCGTGGAACAATTTTTACCTTAATTTTTTTCCGCTAAGTTTAACAAAATATAGTTCATATTGCAACAAAGAACATAAAAATAAAATCTCGAAACTTTGTGGAAATCTCAAGAAAATTCAATAAATTTGCCTACAAGTTTGAAACTTTTTAATCAGATTTTTCATTAAAGTTCTAAGTATGCAGTTTTATAACCCATTCAATTTTAGTATTACGAAATGCAAGTTTGAAGTTGTTAAAAAAACGCGTTGATTTTTGGCAATTTTTTCTTGCATACATAAAAAAAAACTGTTGAACGAACTTTGTATGGATGAAACTGCGTGAAAAAGTTGCTAAAAATTAACACGACTTTTAGCAACTTCAAACTTATTTTTTGTTGTACTAAAATGGAATGGGCTATAAATCTGCATATCCAGAATTTTCTAAAAGTCTGATTAAAAAGTTGCAAAGTTGTTTGCTAAGTTATTGAATTTCCCTGACTTTTTCACAAAATTTAGAGATTTAATTTTTATGTTATAAAACCCTAGTGGAAAAAGTTAAAGCAAAAAATTTTGCAAACATTGTGAAAAACTTTTTATGCTAATAATTTAGTGCGGCACTGTAGTTTATTCTTTAACAAAAACACTATAAATCCAAGTTTCAAATTTGCGCTATATTAAAAAAAATCAACAAACCAACCAAATCGTTTTTAATTAATTTCTTAGGAATATGCCTCTTTAAACACTCCTAACTAACTCACCGAATTTCAAAATAAAATTCCATGCGAACAAAAAACGAAAAATTTTCGATTAAATCTTAAAAATGAACCAAAATTTTTCTGATCAATAAAAAATCACCTTTACTTAAATTTTTTATAACATTGGCTAATTATAAAAGTGATTTCTTGTAATAATATTTCGAACAGCTCTTCCTTCATTTAAAACGTGTACTAATTCGACATTGTCCCCAGACGATTGATTGTCAGATAGATCAGCAGGTGGATCTACTTCAGGAAGCGGAAGATTAAATCTCTTTCGAATATTATGTAGTGTACAGCATGCAGTAATTATAGACCCAGCAAATGAGGGATCCTCCATTAGCCCCCGGTCTTGTGAAAGGCAAGCAAATACCTTTTTTAGAACTCCATTAAGGCGTTCTACACAGTTTCGTGCACGTGCGTGGCTATCATTGTAGCGCTGTTGGCTGGCATGCTCAACATTTCTGAATGGAGTCATTAGCCACGGCTGCAATGGATACCCAGAATCTCCAAGCAACCATCCAGTAGAGCCATTTGCAGTGTAAGCATTTAGCATATGGGATTTTATTATACTGCTTTCCCAAATATAAGCATCGTGCGTACTTCCCCCATACCTTGCGAAGCACCCCAGGATATTTAAATCGAAATCGCACACCAATTGCACATTCTTGGAAAAGTATCCTTTCCGATTAATGTAGCAGTATTCTACATCACTTGATGGCTTCTTAATTTTGACGTGAGTGCAATCAATCGCTCCTAAGACGCCGGGAAATCTAGTTGCATTAAAAAAACTGTAAATAAACAACAAATGAAATGAATAACCACGAGTCGTTAAATTTGAAATAATTCACCTACCGTTGTTTTACTATATTCTGCTGCTCCAATGTTGTTGGGAGTATAATATATCGTTGCGCCAAGTAGTTTTGCAAAATTTTTGTGACTTGATGTAGTATGCGGCTTACCATGGTCTTACTTATGGCGCAAACGAAATCCTGACCGTCGTCTCTAAGGTACGATCCTGTAGCATAATAGTGGAGTGCTACACACAGTCTAATGGAGTTTGGAATGAACGTATTCCTTACTGCTGTATCCATTAAAGGCTCCATTTCTACAAGAAGTTCCCTGACTGCTGCCCTGCTGAAGCAAAACAACTCTATAAAGCGCGCCTCTGGAATGCTGAATGGATCTGTGGAGTCCCTCAAATACCGCCGTCGCATTCGCAGCATATTTCTGCGGTCCTGTTGTATCGCGAGTGTAGCTACCAACAAACTCATAGCTGAAAATAAATATTTATCAATATACAATTTTTTGTATACACATTTTTGTTTTCATGCTTACTTTTCAAAATGTTTTGACAAATAACTTTCAATTCGATTTCACACATTCCTTGTCGATTGGCATATCATTTCTCTCACTGTTCCACATTTTGTCGATTAATGCTTACGGAAACACTTTTTCTCCGCCAATCGACAAACTTGGATCGAATCGATATGACGTCACTATAATCGAGAATTTTGTCGATTTCTTACAGAAACGCGCTACAGTTCCATCTTCAGTGTTTAAATAGTCAAAGAATTCTTTACATTTCATTTTAACATTACTTTTAATTTTAAGCTCACTTTCAAAAATTTTGATTATAAGTCAGTTCCTCTCTTTGCGCCAGGAAGCAAACTTTATACTGAAAATCCTCTCCGGTGCTTCGTTTGAGTGTGGTATTGCAAAAAAAGAAACAAAATTACATATTTTTTCAAACTTCATCTATATTTCCTCATGGCTTAAATTGATTTTTTCAACTACGCAAAAACTTTGAAAGACTAAGGCTGCGTTTCACCAGATTCATTTAAGTTAAAATTACTTTAAATTTCGAATTTTTGGTTTCACCAATCCATTTTAATTTGTTTTTAGTTTTGATTTAAGTGACCTATGCTCTTCACTTAAATAAAAACTAAATCAGAATAACCATACTCAGAAATGTTACACGTTTAATCAGTGATCAATATACACACACCACAATTTTGTGTATCTGCTGCTCACTTGTATACCAGCCCTGCTTTTACAACACAGAGTGCCAAAGCTTTCAAAAGCTCTCATCACAAATGAAAGCTTTCGCTGGCAAAGTCGGTTTTACAACCACTTTTTACTCACTTAAATAAATAAATAACAAATTTAATTAAAGTTCATGATTCAATAATACAAGGTTAAATAATTATTGACAGCTGCGGTTTGACACTCGCTTACAAAAGGTTGCATTTACGAAGGACAGAGAAAGGGCAAGAATGCAATCCCTTGTTTCGAAAATGGTAGTAGAAAAGTACGCAAAGTAGGCAATTAGTAGTGAAATTCCTTTTGTAAATTCTAATGTATTTGCAGGAAATCTGACATTTTAAACGAAATGTTGAACGTAATATTGATATATCTACGTGAATTACGTAATTTATATGCTATTTAACCGTATAAAAACTGCAAAATGACTCAAATTAAAATAAGACTACTATGAGATTGATGTAAACATCCAATTCTTAGGTTTTCATCAGTTAAAAATATACTTTGAATATATGAGCAAAACTATTAAATATGCTTCATATGCATATACAAATAAACATATTGCACAAAAGCTTATACTTTTATTTCACACCAAAGCTACACTGTTTCCATGTAAATTTGCAAAGAAGCAACACGGTGCCACTGCTAAGGGAGCGGTGCGAGAGAGACAACTGTCAGTTTATTTGAGTTCGGGCTGTGTTCATTGCGCAAATGACAATCAGCTGTTTCAGTTGACGGTTGAGGTTTAAAATTCGGAAATATTTAGCAATTATGGACGACACGGATTGTAAGTAAATAAAATTACTTTAATTTTTAAAAGAATTATAAATAAAATTACTTTTATTTTATTTAAAACAGCTCTCAAAAGAAAAAGAAAGCGGCTAGCATGGACTGAGGACGGCGAGTTGGCGATCCTTGATTTGTGGGCAGAACGCGTTGGAGATCTCCGTGGCTTGCGGAAAAATGCGGAGATGGTCGAAAGTATCGACGGTATGTGTCTCAGTGTCCAATATCGCATCAAATTATTTTTTACCACGGCTGGAAGTTGCAGTATGTATGTTTTTATGTATATACGTACATATGTATAAATGCATATATTTTGTAATGTACTGTGCAAGTATTCATGTGTAAATACATTTCAGTATTTGCCTATATTATATACATGTCGCTAATTAACTTCAATAGTGTCATAATCGGGAAATGTTTAGTTATTTGTACAACAATTTTCGTGTAGGAGGCGGTCGGGGAGTTGGCGTGGACCCCCAAGCCCCCCATAAACGAAAGAGTATGGACCGCGCTTTGTGAAAAGTCACCGCTCTTCCCCCCCTTCAGCCCCCAACAGAGATATTTCGTGGAAATTTTTTGTGCTTTACAACTGAGCTCGGAAATTTGCAAAAAATGCCACATTTCAAACCGACATTATTATTTTTAAATAACGCGTGGACTCTTGTCTACAAGTGCGTGTAAAAGATTTTTGATTCGGCTGACGTGTTTGGGCACAACAACCCAAAATCGTTGTACAAATAACTAAACCGTACCCTCATAATCCAAAAAATACACATTCATGCTTTTCTCCAGTTTGCTATTTTGATTTATGGCGCTATTAAAGTAAATGGGTGATATGTATGTTTATATATGGGTTTGAAAATGCTGTTATAGAAAGCAAAGCAACAACAACCTTCCAGATTATTAGAATTTAAAAAATTTACTTTGGGGTACACTATGCAGCTTTGTGCCACTGTTTGTGCAATGCCAGAATTTAAGTAGCTCAAATGCCTCAACATTTATTTCATTTTATTGTCAACATTTATTCGTTTATTATAAAAACTAATAATGTTTTTTTTTTATTTTAAACAGAAGTCTCCTTTGGATCACAGCCGCCTCAATTGTCACCGCTGTTAACTCCGCTGCCATCACCTCTACCCACACTTCAAATCACACCGCTGCCTTCACCGTCCCCGCCGCTTGCTTACCCGTCATCCCCACCAAGCACCTCAGCCTCAGCGATGGAACCTAAGAAAAAAAAAGAAATGGGTCATTTCCAAACCAAAATTTTGCAAAAATTTGATGAGCTCTCTTCAGAGATAACCCAGCACTTAAAAAATAGTGACCAAAATGAAAAGGAGCTTATAAATATTGAAAAATAAAAGGCTGCATCTTTTCAAACCATTTCAAAAGCTAATGAAGAGCTAAAAAATGCTATAATCTCTTTTTTTAAAAAAGATTAAAAATTAAATTTGATACTCACTAAAATAATTACACAAAGCGTTTCTTATTACTTCAGCGGAGGGTTCATTGTCACCAACTACAACATAATCTGTAGGATTTTCTCGATTTATATTTACTTCTTGCAATCTCGCCATCCAAATCTCATTAATGTAATCATTTCTTTCGTTCAAAAAGTTATGAAGAACGCAGCAGGCTCTAACAATAACCGGTGCGTTACCTATTCGGTTATCTATACCTTTGCCGATTCGTCGGAAACGCGCTTTTAAATGTTCAAAGGCATTCTCTACTACTCTTCTGCATTTCGACAGATTATAGTTGAACAGCTTTTGGGTTTCTGTTAAGGCCATGCTAAACGGGTATGGCTTCATTAAAGAGGTGGAGAATCGGAATGCAGAATCTCCTAGAATGCACACTGGCATCTGCACACCACATATTTCCTTCTTATGGTTCCTCAACAATTCATTTTCCGTCAATACTCTTTTGAGCATCGATGCATTGTATATTTGCGAGTCATTGCATCGCCCTGGGGAACCAATGTTTACATATAGGAAGCGGTACCTGTATATATGTGCACACGAGGATATAATATACATAAGTAAGTATGTTTGTCTATTAATGAAAAAAATTAGCATGTTACTCTTTTTCACCTGTAATCTACTAGAGCTAAAAGTACCATGGAGTGCCATCCTTTGTAGTTAAAATAATCCGTTGCGTCGGTTGGATTCGGTTTAACTTCTATATGACATCCATCTAAAAATATATGGATGTACGTATGTAATTACATAATGTATATATATGTATGGATATATAAATAATTTTTGTATAGTGACTAAATTCTCAAACCTATTGCTCCTAAGCATTGAGGAAAGCCAGGACGGTGGAAGGCATTTACGCATTCAGCCAGCGTTTCAGGAGTCGGCGGTAACTTTTTTATGTATTGAGTTGACATCGCTTTCCAGACCTCCTCACAAAACTCTAATACAATTGAGCACACAGTTGATTTTCCAACACCAAATAGTTCGGAAACTACTCTGTACTCCCCAGATGAACCAAGCGTAAATAAAACAATTGCAACGCGCTTTTGTAACGAAATGGGGGTGCGCCAATTTGTGTCAGTTTTTTTCAAATTGCTAAGGAAGCCACAGAGTATGTCAAAACTTGCACGCGTTATACGGAAGTGGGTCTTGAAAAAGTGGTCATCATTTGCATTGCAGTTAACCTCCCAAAACAAGGATTGTCGGTCCTATAAATAAGAAAATGTTATTAATTAAAGGCCACAAACTTATTTATAATAGTTTAAATTACCAACTTCCACATTGATCTTTGAGTTGCGCTTCTTTCCAGTAATGCAAGCAGCAATAGTTGCTTTCTTCGCAAGTGTTGTATGAGTAGCATGTTTTTCTTCTTTTTCCTCCTATAAGAAGCCAGTTTACAATCATAAATTGATTGAATTGACTGGAGGAGTTCAATATTTGCGGTATACGCCAGAAGAATTCCTTTTAAGGATGAATTGTTCTCCATTTTCCAAAATAATTGTAAAATATATTGTCAGCTGATAGCCCACCACTAAACGAACAGCTGACTCTGTGTGACCACCCAAAACTGTTTACTCAATTTAAAATCTAATTGACTCAATTAAATTTCTGTCTGAACATACTTTAACAAACCTATGCGATTCTGTCGCAATGAATCCGCACCGTTTTTGATGCTACAGACGTCACTGCTTCGAAAACGCAAGTACGCACACATCTGTGCGATTTTATCGCAGTAAAAGCTGTCAATTTATAGACCAACAAAAAATATTTTTCAACAAAAATAAAATTCTTAACTTTTCCACATCAAATAAGTTTTGCTTTCTTACGTTCAAGTTCAATACGTTCAATTGACCTTATTCGTTCTCAAAACGCGGTGGTCCGCGATTTCGGCACGACAAAGAGAAGAACTGTGAATGTTCGAATAAATCGCTGCAACAAAATCGTATAAGTGTGTGGTTCCTTATTTAAAACTATGGTCGGTATTGTTGTAAATTTTGTCGGAACAGATTCGCACCGACAGAATCGCATAGGTGTGTGGATACCTTAAATGAGTTTGGACAAACGCAGCCTATGAATTCCCAAAAAAGAGTATCTTACTCTGTGTCTTGTTATGTAAAAACCTTAAGAAAAGCCTAAAGTATTTTGTTTGAATTGAAAAATCAGGACATTAGCGTACTGATTGAAGAAATGAATAAAATCAGTACAAGAGTTGAAAAATCAGTACTGTACTGATAAAATCAGTACGTCTGGCAACCGTAAGCAAAGATAATATAAATAAGTTAACAATTTTAACTTAAACTTTAAAAATTTTACATCATACACAAAAATCTTAATTTTTAAGATATTTTCAGTGTAAAATTATGCTTTTTAAAAAAACTTTTCTTGAAGATTTTTAATAAAAAACAGCCCGGAAAATCTTCAGTTTCAAGATAAATCTTGATTTATGACAACGCTGGTTGCCTTTTCATTGCCCTCTCCTTAGTAATTATACGTAGAGGGCATTGAGAAAGCAAAATTTTTCGGATCTAAGGAAGGTTTTACAGACTTTTTCCCAAGTTTATATAAATCGCTAAAAATAGCGATACAAATTAAAAAAGGTATATATTTGAGAACTTAAAAGTGAGATTTTGCTCGAATTTCTATTTGTCATTATTTGTTCTCAAATATTGCCAAAAAACACGCTTTTTTAGACTTTGACCCCGTTTCTCTCAAAATCTGGAGCTTTAACATTTGCCGCACCAAAATCAGTATTGCCCTGTGTTATCAATATGTAAGCATTCATACAAATTTGTTACATACACTATGCGACAAAATCAAACTTGTTGG